AATGACACAATGACAGGACACAACTGTACTCACAATGACAGGACACAGCTGTACTCACAATGACACAATGACAGGACACAACTGAACTCACAATGACACAATGACAGGACACAACTGTACTCACAATGACAGGACACAGCTGTACTCACAATGACACAATGACAGGACACAACTGAACTCACAATGACACAATGACAGGACACAACTGTACTCACAATGACAGGACACAACTGTACTCACAATGTCATGACACAACTGTACTCACAATGACAGGACACAACTGTACTCACAATGACAGGACACAACTGTACTCACAATGTCAGGACACAACTGTACTCACAATGACACAATTGTACTCACAATGACAGGCGATATGTTGGACTGCAGCGGACGCAGCACCACGTTCTTCTGCAGGCCCCCCTGTGGCGTGGTTGGCTGTCGCGGGATGACCGTCTGTCCCTGTGGCAGCAAAATCTGGCGTGGCGCGCTGGAGGAGGAGGGCACGATGGTGTGGGTGGCCTGGGGCAGGCTGGCACGGATCACGTTGCCCACGGCACCCGAGGCCGGGTTGATCAACTGTGTCCCGACCAGGGGCTGAGTCAGGCTGATAGACTGCTCGAGGAGAGAGAGAGAGACAGAGTTTTGTTTGTTCCTTTGAGGAGAGAGAGACAAGAGTTTTGTTTGTTCCTTTGAGGAGAGAGAGACAGAGTTTTGTTTGTTTGTTTGAGGAGAGAGAGAGAGACAGAGTTTTGTTTGTTTGTTTGAGGAGAGAGAGAGAGACAGAGTTTTGTTTGTTCCTTTGTGGAGAGAGAGAGACAGTTTTGTTTGTTTGTTTGTTTGAGGAGAAAGAGAGACAGAGTTTTGTTTGTTCCTTTGAGGAGAGAGAAGCATGTTAACAGATTAAAAGTTAGTTTCAGTTTTGTAGTTAGTTTACAGAACACGCAAAACAATTAGATCATACACATGTCATTTGTTTTAGTAAGAGTTTTACATCACTTGCAAAACAATAAGGTCATATAAGTGCCAAAGATTCGAGGTGTTACAAGAGAGTAACAAACCCAAAAAAGGAGGGGGGAGATAAGGAGGATAGACTGCTCAAGTGGAGAAAGTTTTGTTTGTTTGTTTGAGGAAAGGAAGCATGTCAACAGATTCAAAGCTAGTTGTAGTTTTTGTAGTTAGTTTATAGCAATTACATCATCAACATCTTTTTTTTTTGTTTTAGTAAGAATTTTACGGCACTTGCACCACAATAGGGTCATACACGTGCCGCAGATTAGAGTTGTTTGGTTTAGTAGAGGTTTTACGGCGATCGCAACTGCATAAGGTCATATGAGCGCCAGAAGATTAGAGATCTTACAAGAGAGTAACAAACACACAAAAAAAGAAGGGAAAATAAGGACAATAGATGTTGGATAGGAAAGAAGGAGCAAACCACAGCAGAGCACCTGCCAACCACCCACATACACATGTCGAAGATCAGAGGTATTCATAGATAGTAACACACAAAGACAAAGTAGAGAAGGGGGAGGGATGGAGACGATAGATCTTTGATAAGAAAGTAGGAGCAGACCACACCAGAGCATCTGCTAACCGCCCAAAGGGGGGGGGGGGGGGGGAGTAATAAAGGAGTAAGACTATTTATGTGGAAAAGTTCAGCTGTAGTTTTTTAAAGAAATATTACAGAGAGAAAAACGGTAGGAGGGATGATAAGGGCATTAGAGGTTTGATAGGAAAGAAGGAGCAAACAACACCTGAGCACCCGCCAACCACCCACTGGAGAGAGATTGTTTGTTGGAAGAAAGAGAAGCACATTGACATACCAACAGCGACTTAGTGCAGGGGGAAAAGAACAATTGACAGACGAGAAAACACAGAGGGAAATAACAGAAGTAGTATATACCGCTGGCAAACCTACAGACAATTGACAGACGAGAAAACAGAGGGAAATAACAGAAGTAGTATATACCGCTGGCAACCCTAAGGCATGAAGAAAGGGTGAGATAGGGGTGTAGTTGTTTTAGTAGAGGTTTTAGTACAGCATTTACAGCGCTCGCAACTGCATAAGGTCATATGAGCGCCAAGGGGTGGATGTCAACAGAGAAGTCCACACGGGGAATCAGGCTTACTCTGCTTGCCTCTCTAGCTTCAACAGCACAAAGTCTGCTTCGACTATCAAGGCACCCCGGAAATAGCGAGTCACAAGAGTATGACAAACACTCAAAAGAAGTAGAGGAAAATGACGATAGTAAGGATGAGGAACTTGCATAAAGAGGATCCAGGTATTCTTGAACAAGTGTCTGAGAAAGTTACCGAGGATCAAAAGGACAGACAGGGTCACCAACGAGGAAGTGTCAAGGAAAAGAAGACGTGACCCACTCAGTAAGTGAGGGTTTCTTCCCTATGGATAAATCAAATACACCTATTGAACTATTCAACTGATGAGAATCCACCTTAGACACCCTCCAGAGAAACACTTCAACTCACAATACTATTGAAAGTATGGGTCTTGGGAGGTGAAACGGGACATGATTAGAACATTCTTGGAACAATATACACTGACTGTACCAATAACGTTTTTAACAGGTGGGAAGAAGAAAGGAGTTGAAAGAGGCATGCCACATGAAACACCCTCCCCCCTCCCCCCACCCACAAAACACACCAGGTGCTTGATAAGAACAGGTCCAAAGTACAATAGGGCTACAGGAAAGTACAATAGGGCTACAGGAAAGTACAATAGGGCTACAAGAAAGTACAATAGGGCTACAAGAAAGTACAATAGGGCTACAAGAAAGGACAATAGGGCTACAGGAAAGTACAATAGGACAATAGGGATATAAGAAAGGACAATAGGACAATAGGGCTAGAGGAAAGTACAATAGGGCTACAGGAAAGTACAATAGGGCTACAAGAAAGTACAATAGGGCTACAGGAAAGTACAATAGGACAATAGGGATATAAGAAAGGACAATAGGACAATAGGGCTACAGGAAAGTACAATAGGGCTACAGGAAAGTACAATAGGGCTACAAGAAAGTACAATAGGGCTACAGGAAAGTACAATAGGACAATAGGGATATAAGAAAGGACAATAGGACAATAGGGCTAGAGGAAAGTACAATAGGGCTACAGGAAAGTACAATAGGGCTACAAGAAAGTACAAGAGGACAATAGGGATATAAGAAAGGACAACAGGGCTACAGGAAAGTACAATAGGGCTACAGGAAAGTACAATAGGGCTACAAGAAAGTACAATAGGGCTACAAGAAAGTACAATAGGGCTACAGCAAAGTACAATAGGGCTACAAGAAAGGACAATAGGGCTACAGGAAAGTACAATAGGGCTACAGGAAAGTACAATAGGACAATAGGGATATAAGAAAGGACAATAGGACAATAGGGATATAAGAAAGGACAATAGGACAATAGGGATACGAGAAAGGACAATAGGGCTACAGGAAAGTACAATAGGGCTACAGGAAAGTACAATAGGGCTACAAGAAAGGACAATAGGGCTACAGGAAAGTACAATAGGACAATAGGGATATAAGAAAGGACAATAGGACAATAGGGATATATGAAAGGACAATAGGGATATAAGAAAGAACAATAGTGATATAAGAAAGGACAATAGGGATATAAGAAAGGACAATAGGGCAATAGGGATGTAAGAAAAGACAATAAGGATATAAGAAAGGACAATAGGACAACAAAAAAGTACAATAGGACAATAGGGATATAAGAAAGGACAATAGGGATATAAGAAAGGACAATAGCACAATAGGGATATGAGAAAGGACAATAGGACAATAGGAATATAAGAAAGGACAATAGGACAATAGTGATATAAGAAAGGACAATAGGGATATAAGAAAGGACAATAGGGATATAAGAAAGGACAATAGGGATATGAGAAAGGACAATAGGACAATAGGGATAAAAGAAAGGACAATAGGGATATGAGAAAGGACAATAGGACAATAGGAATATAAGAAAGGACAATAGGACAATAGGGATATAAGAAAGGACAATAGGGATATAAGAAAGGACAATAGGACAATAGGGATATAAGAAAGGACAATAGGGATAAAAGAAAGGACACAAAGAAAGGACAATAGGGATATGAGAAAGGACAATAGGGATATAAGAAAGGACAATAGGACAATAGGTATACGAGAAAGGACAATAGGGATATAAGAAAGGACAATAGGGATATAAGAAAGAACAATAGGACAATAGGGATATGAGAAAGGACAATAGGGATATAAGAAAGAACAATAGGGATATAAAAAAGGACAATAGGGATGTAAGAAAGGACAATAGGGATATAAGAAAGGACAATAGGACAATAGGGATATGAGAAAGGACAATAGGGATATAAGAAAGGACAATAGGGATATAAGAAAGGACAATAGGGATATAAGAAAGAACAATAGGACAATACGGATATGAGAAAGGACAATAGGGATATAAGAAAGAACAATAGGGATATAAGAAAGGACAATAGGGATATAAGAAAGGACAATAGGGATATAAGAAAGGACAATAGGGATATGAGAGAGGACAATAGGGATATAAGAAAGGACAATAGGACAATAGGGATATGAGAAAGGACAATAGGACAATAAGGATATAAGAAAGAACAATAAAGCTATCAGGAAATTTTCTTTCAAACGTCACGAGATCATATGTAAGGAAGAGGAACAAAGAGAGAAAACTGAACTTCCCACCCATCAACTCATCCAACCAATTCTCTCCAGATAGCGACTAGCTCTACCAGACTGGCCACTTATTTATGTTTCTCAAAAGCAGTTCGTGAAAAGCTTCCACAGCAAGAGGATATATACAACAGCCAACTACAGACCAATGGAAACAATTTCAATACATCCTGAGCTCAGTTGGAAAAAGGGCAAACTTTTGTCCAATTGCTCTAAATCAATTTCTTTGAAATCTGAATCGACAAGCCATCTTTGGGAAAATGCTTTTCTACAGACACAAGCAAAGTAAGTAGGCCTATAGAATGGGTTAGTTTTTTCATTGCCTGAAGAGAGAAAGAGCCCAATGACCATATACTTCAGCTCATAAAATTATGTGCTTAAAATCTTCCCTTGTGGCATTCAAATAAATCTGAATATTTCGCTCTCACTTACATAAGAATACTAGTTGTAAACTGCATATATTGTCCATTTTCATCTCTCAGACATGCCCAATATGCATTAAAATAATAATTTTGGGGGGGTTAAATCACAGCTTTCCAGATATTGCTCAGGACATGTCCAAGAATTCTGAAGCGTAATTTTCTCATTTTGTGGAATTTGGCCACCAACCAGTTTTCTAGCTGTGGCATCACCCCTTAAAACACATGGAGAGTTCTCTCAGGAACCAAACAAATATACAAACCAATGAAACCAAACTTCTCCTATACATAGGGCAATGCTCATTTTTGGTGTAGAGTGTAGGTCAAGATTTCTGGAAACCCCCGAAATCAAGGTTAGCCCGTTTGTCCTTAAAAGCAACCACATAAACACATGGGACACAAGTTGGTGGTAGTAATGTTAGCTCACAGCATGGTTTAGTGCACCCTTGCATACGCCAGGGCTTTCTCTCGTTAGAATACGCAATTAGTCATGTTAAACCACATACTTTTCTCAATGACTGGCCGGACAAATGGACAGAGCATTAGTGCCCCATCTCATTCCACTTTCGCTAGGTAAACTTACAACTTTTTCTGCAACAAATCAACTACAACTTTTCATTCATAGTCAAAATAGAGACATTGCACATCCTAAGCATGCCCGAAGAGAAAATTCATGGCCATGTCTTGATCTAAACATAAGATATCTTTGATTCCCTTACCATACATAATATTCTACAAAAGTTGTGAATGGTGAAGTATGGAAATTCATAAAGATAAAATATTGTGTGCATGTTTATTTTGTACATAACTTTTAAAAAAGCATTAGGACACTGGTCTCTTTTTCTTTCTACGACGGGAATTGTCTGAAGCAGAAAAGGAATCTCCATTACCTGGGACATTTGTTGCAGTTGTGAGTTGGTGATAAGCAATCGCTTGCCCTCCGCAGTCTGAAGGGAGAAACACATTCACCAGCACAGCTCTAAATGGTAAAGTACTAAACGTTTGGGGGACGGACACACACACACACATACATATAACACACATATATACATACATATAACACACATATACACATACATACAACACACACACACATGCCACAAGGAATGGAGGAAGGTGTTACCTGCGCATGCGTGGCTCAGTAGTGACGTCACAGCCACCACCAGTAAGAGTCCGCGGGCTGACATCTCGGACCTGGGAGACAACGACAAAGAGCAAATAATGGACGTGGCATTGCTCAAATGATGTAGGGTTAGGTTTTTTTATTAGTTTCAGTAGAGGTTTTACGGCGCTCGCAACTGCATAAGGTCATATGAGCGCCAGAAGATTAGAGGTGTTACAATAGAGTAACAAACATAAAAAAGATGAAGGGGAGATAAGGACGATAGATGATTGATAGGAAAGAAGAAGCAAACCACACCAGAGCACCCGACAACCACCCACGATGCAGGTTCAACTCCCCTAGAATCACTGTTAGGTTATTTAAGAGGCGGGACCTCCGAGTTTAACGTCCATCTCCGAAAGGACCGAGCCAAGTGGGACATTCGTGTACAGTGTCTATCCCAAGGACACAATGTCGGAGCAAGCTGTCGATCACTATAACCCTCAACCCTGCAGTCTCCCGACTACGGAAGTGGTAACCTAACCACTCGGCCACCACGCCACCACGCCACGGGAAGCAAACAACAACAAAAAGGTAGTCCCTCACATCAAGCGGTGGAAAGTGAAGGAACAAAGGTACGTGTTTTCAGCCACCAATACACAATCTACATCATTTAGGAGGCGGGCTTCCGACCCTGCCTGTCAGGGCCAACCCAGGCGGAGAGAGATACAACGTCTCAGCAGACAGACTAAGAAGATACTCGAAAAAAAAAATTCTCCCCCTCTGGAATCAAACTCGGGTCTCCTGCGTGTGACAGTGACGTGCCTAACCACTACACCACCGACCTACATGTGAGTCACGTGCCTAACCACTACACCACCGACCTACACGTGACAGTCACGAGCCTAACCACTACACCACCGACCTACACGTGACAGTCACGTGCCTAACCACAACACCACCGACGCCCGTGGCCTGGTATTGACGACATCAACATGATTGGTGCTCTTGTAAATGCCGTCTGGTCTGCCGCTTCTTCTTGTACCCCTCTGTCTCCAGTAGCAGGTGAAAAGGGCAACCCTGTCTCTGGTCTTCTCTCCCCCTGTCTCCAGTAGCGTGTGAAAAGGGCAATCCTGTCTCTGGTCTTCTCTCCCCCTGTCTCCAGTAGCGTGTGAAAAGGGCAATCCTGTCTCTGGTCTTCTCTCCCCCTGTCTCCAGTAGCAGGTGAAAAGGGCAATCCTGTCTCTGGTCTTCTCTCCCCCTGTCTCCAG